CTTATTGCTTCAGGGCTGACTCCATTTTCTTTCACTGTGTCCGCGTACTACACAAACACGGATAAATGAAGATTTGGATTGTTTGTAGGACATCCATAAAATTGATTTTGTTGGACAACTTGCAAAAGCGAAGGCTTTAACTCGAAATCGTTTCGTGCGATAGAGGGAGAAACAATACTGTTGTGGGGTTCCTCTTGCGATGGGGCAACATAATCTTTCAGAGGGCGGTTTTGGGGTTCTTCTGCCATTTTGGGGTCAGGAAGAGAAAAGTTAGGAAGATTGGTTTCCGAAAGATTATACTTGGCTTGGTACTCTCTAATTCGGCATCTAATACTAACAAAAAGCTCGACTTCGTCAATCGGTTGCTCTAATTCGGCGTCTTTAGAGCGAGTGCTTGGCATACAATCGACGATTAAAACTGAAATAAAATTGGTTGCCTTAGTCTATACTGCGTAACAAGCGATTTATAGTATTTGACTAATTCAACCCCCGTCAACGGTGCCAAAAACTTGATCGCGACTTTGTAGGTCTATCGGGTGTAGTGACTGCAAGTGCACAATCTATCACGTAGTTTTAAAAGATATCCAACCCACAAGGATTGATGGTCAAAACTACTGTTATCTTAGGGTCACTTTGTAAAGCTAAGGCTATTTAATAAACTTGGGTGTTTGAGTTTAATCGGGAATTAACTAAAATATAGTAATTAATAACGAGACACTGGTATGTATTTCATCAACTTAAGGGATTCAGTAAGTCATTGGCATTTGTTTTTAGTATTGAAACACAGCTTCGGTGAAAACTATTTGTTTAAAAACTCTCGTCTCAAACTTCTGTTCTATTGAATCAGATCATATCAGTTAAGCTCGAAATGAGCGCTTTCGCTGTTTCATTTAAAACTCAAAAGTACTTTTTGAAAACAAATAAGGTCCAATTAACTTTAAAGCGCTTGTGCTGTTTTTAAAATTAATGTTTTAATAACCACTATCTGGTTAAAACCTCAAACTTCCGCTCTGTTGATTTTAACCTTAGACTGTCTCTTACTTTCGTACAAAAACAATTAAATATTCAATTGGGAATTAAAACCAGAAAAGTGTTTTTGTAAAAATAATAATGTCAGTTAATTACCTAATCCTTTCGATTATGTTTTACATACCCGTATCAGGGAATCTAGCCAGACATAATTTTATCACAAAATAACATAAAATTAAAACGTAAGTTCAACAACGCATGCATGGTAGGAAATAAATAAATTATACTTATTAAAATAGGAACCTAAAAGTGAATAACAAAGCGATTAATTCCGAGTAATGTGTATCCTCCACAAGCCGGCAGGATTGACTTGTAGTAAAAATATCTTGAATTAAATTAAAGTAATCCTATGCAAATTCTGGAAGTATGGAAACAAACTAGTGTTGTAGTATTTCTCCGATGTGGAAAAATACTGCTTTGATGGTGGGGTTTTTTTTATTGCCTAAGTAGTCCTACAAAATCTAAAAAATTAATGCTAG